TGTCACTGATTTCCTGAAAGTGGTATTTGGGGCCTTTTCGAAGAAGGTTTCGATCAAAAAAATCACAACCAGACTCTTTGATAAGTAATGATCGAACATGCGATACATTCGGATTTGTCTCGATAATGGCTCCCAATGGCAGACAAAGCACATTATTTTCAAAAGGCTCAAGCTCCAAAGGAGAAAATCATTCACGACTCGGAAAATGATATTTATTACAGAGCTGGTGCTTTTCAAAAATACTCGCAATAAAATACTTGTATCAAAATGATGAATAGCCCTAACCAACAAGTGTTCCTGCACTTTACTCCCATCTCAAGTAGCTGAAATGGCATTCAAGAGCATGCTCCCCATATTGGCTCAAACACCATAGTAATCACAGTAAACATACCTTATCAATTTCTTGCATGAAATGGAGCAAGAAATCCACTAGCTTATGCTTGTACATAGTTTCAGTGTGTGATGCAGTGATTAAAAACGAGATGTCATAACCTAAACAAAACAATTTGTGAAAATCAAAAAAAAGTGTTGCTAACACTTCGAATGAAGGCGGGATCTTCGGAGAGAGATAAATGACTCACCAGGTAGAGGTTTACGTCTCAAAACAAAGAAACTATCCGCTCGCTGACACATAAATCGGGTAAATTTATGACAGAGAATACGCTCGATTTCGTCCGATTGTTTTATCGAAATTGATACCCTTAAAAAATTGTGTTATAAGGATATCACGATACTATAACAAAAGAAATAGGTTCCTGCCACAGAACATCACAAGTCAGTTAGTCTAAAACGAAAATATGCAAAAAAAGCTCAATGCAATTAACATTGCAATAACTTTAGTAAGAAGAACAAATTTTAATTGTAGTAACAGAAGACTCTCGCACCTTACTGAGTTTATTGAAGGTTCTATGAGGACTCGTTCCTGCTTGTTTCGCGCGACAACAACAGGTGTCATCAGGAGTTCCTTGGAAGTGCGCACTTCTACCTGAAATTGTTAGCTGTGATGGACACTTTCGATTGACTAAAATTCTTCTTAGGTAGGCATGGAATATTATAATATCTTAAAATCACCTGTCATATTACAGACTTATCAAAAGACACCGAAACGACAGAAATCGTGAAATGAGAGGCTACTATCTAGGGGAGGAAATATGGTGAACAACTCTATTCTTTTAAATGTTACGATAGACTTCATGCGGTCAACCGTTCATACACGCTGACCGTCACTGCTGTGCAGTACTTTTTGAAACCTGTGTCATCCCATAACAGGTTCAAATCGTCAAATGGCAAACGTGGCTCCGTTTAATGTTCGTAATGGTTATGAAGGCGGTCCAATTACTACACACCCACTTAATTTTGTTGAGCACTGCTAGCAAATTGCCAGTAAGCAATCTTTTTGGTTAACATAAGAAAAGTCTCTGTCATCCTTGCGCATGACTGAATTTTAAAATTTTAAGGAAGGGAAAAATTGTTAAGTATTGATAGGAAAAACTGAAATTCATACCTCTGGTTTCATGTGCCTCTCAACAACTTGAGAACTAAATTGTTCAAGACATAGTGCGGCTTGGAGAGTATGTCGAACTGCTTCGAGATACGGTTGTAAGGTTGCGCTCTGAAGATACATACGAATGGTTCGCCACAACATTACTTGATTCTTGGACAAGGAATATTTAATAGCATGACCACATGCCATCTGCTAACTAAACCAGATGCGTTCCGAGAACGTTCTTAGGGTTAGGACAAGAAAACCTATGAAAAAAACTATAACTCGTAGAACATCATGCACAATAAACTAACCATCTTTCTCGAATTCTTCTCCTACGGCTTGAGTACGGATGGAGGTGGCCGCACAATCGACCCTTATTACCTTTAAAGGGTTAGATGAAGAAACAACGGAAAATATGCTCACCACCAAGTATTGGGTTGGTGCAGAAATTTCCCGGAAGCATCGCGAGCAATTTCACCCCGCTTTTGAAGATAAACAAGTATATTTCAAACTAATGTAAACTACCAAAACCGTCACTATGTCAGTTATGTCAGCATTGAAGTCGTTAAATAACTGAAGTTGGAACTTCAGTTATTTAACGACTTCAATGCTGACAAATGAAGATCGTTTTCAATTCGGGATAAAACTATGCACCAAGCCAAATACTAGGACATAACCAAAAACCACAAACATAGCACGAATATAAATAGGAACAAGTAAATAAAACAAATAAAATGAGCAGTGAAACGCAATGAATGTGCAAACAAGGATGAAAAAGTGAAACAGTGAGTCAATTGCTGTAAGTTTTACCGATTGAAAATCTAGGAACGATTTGACTCTGTTTCAATATGTTCGCACTAGTTCTAGATCATCGCTCTGTTAAAAGAACTAGCTGAAACTAGGAAATCAAAACGAAGAATAAACAATGAAAAAAACGTGGGGTGTAGCCACTACCGGAAGCTCCATGGAAGGAATGATGAAGAGGTGAACGATTGATTTCATTAAAAGTTGGCATGACCAACCAACAAACTAGAATCATTCCAAGATTCTTTCGAGAAACGATGCGTAATGCTGACGGAATCAATTGGCAGCGAATGAAATATGTTGTGGCGGCAGCGTCGCAGCTTTTCCGTGGAGCGCGACAATTGCCAATCTATAGTGCGAAAATCTTTGGGCCTTGCATTCAATTGCTACTCGGTG